GGTCCCCAGAGAGGCGTAAGTGAAACTTCACTGATGGGTTTGACGGGGACCTCAATCGGATAGTGGAGCTGGAGTCTTGAATGCGAGTTTCTTGGATGCAACACACGTCGATGGTTAGGGTTTCGAGCGCACGAGCTAAACACGCTTGTTGTCCTTTACGCATCAGAGTATGCACATTAAACGTGGTTAGTTTGAAGGGACATCGAGGGCGAAGAAGGGCTTCAGCTGGTGGAGGATTCGGTGAGACTTGGATGCTAGCAGAGGTAGGACAAGAGTGAACAGCGGCAGAACTTCCGCCCGAGGCACTACTGTTAATACGATCGTCTGAAGAACCCGAGAGAGATGGAGGAGTGTTGGGGAGGTAGAGATGAGCTGGGGGGAGACTGGGAGGACGAGAGGGTGTGTACGATGTAGAATGTTTTGTGCATTTTGGAGGAGCGTCAGAATACATAGTCGTAAGAGTAAGATTCATGGTTCATGGTTGTGCGTTGTGGGCTATTGTACTACTCGGTCGCCCGGTTCAGAGTAGGCCTTGTTCGAGGATGCACTCTAGCCTTTACGCATAAAGCGCGGACTGGAAGGCAGCAGTAATGTTCCAGATGAGCCGGTGGCCAGCCTTCGGTTCATTAGCCTCTTCTGGAAAACCTTGTCGAGCGATGGATCTCGACAAGGAGCAATGGCCATATTTAGTGACGGGAAATGAAAAAATAGCGAAAGAGTGCAGACGGTTGACAAGAAAAAAGTGGCAAATGACGTGATGTACACATCCCTAAACGGACCGTATGTGCCGATGGGGGTATAATATTGATACGAAACACGAGCGTCGAACAAAACTGAAGTATGCGCAGCTTCAAGCATTACAGTTTAGAATGCAACACAACTGTCCACCACCAAGTCCTTTCCTAAAAATAAAGAGCGATTCTGGGGCACATTTGCAGCTGAACGCTGCGGACGAAGAGACACCCAAATTATCCATAAAATGCGAAATAATCTTGAAGAGTGAATCAACTTCTGCAACGAGGCGAACGTATATATGTATATATCAAGGTACACGCATAGGGACTCACGTCACTTCTGGCAATACTGAGGGACTGGAGACGTGGGAACAACTGCGCGACTGCACACAATCCGGAATCTGTGAATAACGGACCCATACGAGCCAATTCCAACTTCAACAGGGGTCTCTCACCACACGATTGAGACGATTGTTCTGCGGACCAGCTCCGTGTCCAACCTTCGTCGCTAACTTTGGTATCCGATAGGCATAACACTCGTAACTGACGCAGTTCTGTCTCAGGAAAAGGGGTATGAAAGGGGTTGGGGACGAACTGTGTGAGAAGCCTTCCGCTGACAGGAAAAATCGATTTATACAGTGTTCAAGTCATTCTCCTATGCGTTCTCCAATGGTTGTGAATGGTGAGCGTCTATAGTCAGTAAAACTATGCAAACTAACAAGGACGGAGGGTGTTCACATTTTACAAACTGACAAAGGAGATAAATCGATGAAGTGAAGAAGAGAAGTAGGATTGGGTGGAGGCGAATTTCTTCTATCAAACTTCTATAATCTGACAGTTTAATTTTGTGGTCTGCTCGAACGGGGTTTGAGGGTCAGTCATAAATGAGCACAATGGGGTAGGAGACAGTACATCATGCTTGTAACGATCATATTCTTCGGGTTGATTTCATCAGTATTTAAGGCATTTTCGCAGTGAATAAAGGTGCAGTTTTAGTGACGTTGGAAATACAGATCTTCCTAGTCCTATTACAACGAGAGCAAGTATCCTTGTGCCCTCCCTTCGAAGAAACCGGTTAAACATGAACGACTTCTCTATTTCTGTGCTGATCATCGGACGTTCTTGTTTAGTGTCAACTTCCAATATAGCTCACGATTGACGGCAACAAAATGCACTAGACTAACAGGTGAGCTGACTCAGATCTATCACAAAACATTAAGCTAGTGGTAATGGTTTCGTAGAGATGCAGGTTGTAAGGGACCGTATCTGTTGGGTCTGACAACTGACAGCAATTTGGAAGCATTTTGCTCTTTAACTCATCGGTCGCCGGAAAAATCTCAGCTTCATTTTCTGTCCGATCCAGCGGACACGAGTTACAGGCCCTACAATGAGATGGAGTTGGAGGACAATGGGATCGTATTAGCAATGCAATGCACCTGACCTCGAAGGTTGCTTGCGGACCCGAGTCTGATCCAAGACAAGGGATATCTGAAGAATCACTAGGCCTGATGGAGAAGCAGCGACCAATTACAAAATATTGGAACTCGATTCCCTGAGCTCGGACGGAATGAATCCGTTTTCGCACGTTCGCCAAGCTGAACAATTTATTTACAAACGTAATATTGTTTCAGCATGTTATAGCACTTTTTCTTTGTTGTAAAGATTACTGTACCGTGATTTCATTGACACAGTCTAGACTCAGACAGGTGTGAAAATATGCATCCAGTTGGTTCGTTTCTGTGGTTAATTTCGTGAACAGCGCTGCTCACGTCTTAACGCATTTTCGTTTCGTTTCGAAATAATTCTCCGTTGGCAGACGATCGATTTGTGAGCAACTTGGATACTATACTGCTAGAATAATCCTGCTTTCAGTTCTTAGACGCCCTTAATCTGTGATGGAATCGTTTTTGTTCGTGATACTCCGTCTTTGGCCTGTGTTTCTTTAGCGGTTCAGAGTTTGTCTGATGTTCGAACCGGGGCAGTTTATCTTTATCCGGTTTTCGTAATGGTCAAGTCTTTGCACCGTAGAGCAGCACTGGCCGAATTGCCGCAGGATACACTCAACCCTTCACAAACAGTCGGATATCGTGACGCCGCCACGGCTGCTTCATGTTGGCAAATGCCTCTGTATGAGTTCACCACACTGGAAGTCAGCAGATCCCGATTATTAAACCAATTAGTATTCATAAAACTATTGGGATCACTGCACAGAGTATCCGGGAGAATGATTCAGCTGTTTCAATGTTAACCGGGCTACTCCCGCGGTTGCAACCGTATTAGGTGATCATGAGAACCCCAAGAAGAGCTAGAAGTATGAAGATGTATTAGAGTGTTGAGGATAGGTGAAGCAGCCGAACAACATAAGCGAAGGGTTATAACCTGGTGGACTTTATCAATGACTTGGAGAACGAAAGAAATTTCATAAATTTATAAAAATCACAGTAAATTGACGTTAGTCGCGACTTTCTTTTATGGAGGCAAAAGTTTTTTTCCGTAAAAGAATTAGATACTGGAGGCAACACAGTACGAACGAATCTAAAAGTGCATTCACTGTTGCTTTTGTCATCACGCTAGGTTCGGCGGTGTGCGTCCGTTGCCATGTTGTGTGCTGAGCTCTTAGGTCTTTTACTAGGTTCCCGGATCGGGCTCACTGGCATGACCTGAGAGCTAAAGCCTATTAGTTTTGCTTCCAATGTAGCAATTTTTAAATTCAGTCTTTCTTTAGCGGCTGATAATAGCTTCTCAAACCCATGTGTAACACATGTTGTGCACTTTACAAACGCGATTTTCATATATTATCCGCCGAAACACAGATATTCCGGCTATGTGACGAGCTGTTTTACCAGGAGTTTAGCAGATGACACGCAAAATCATCCAGCGTTTCATGTTTTTTCTAAAAACTGTAAAATTAGGGGGCGAAAGTATTTTAGGTAGTATGTGCATCAAGCACGTCTTTCAAAGTGTTTCCCGCAACTCAATGAATCAAATACTCTCAACAGGTTCGGCAGTTGTCGACCTACGTACCGTTTTCACACTTTTTTGAACCGAGAGGCTGACGAAGTATGCAAAGATCACGTGAAACCGAGACTGGCTGTCTCGAAACCCCACTCGTTTGGAACGATGATGATCACAAGTGCACACAACAATGACAAAGGTCACGTTGCGAGTATCGATCACATTGTTCGTTGAGAAAGTCACTGGAAATCTTTCGTCCAAATCTTGTGTATGGTTTAATCAATAAATGTATAAGAGTTGGCAGTAGGAATTCGCGGTAAAGATGCCTAGCAGATGTAGTCAACTAACAATATGATCACTACACACTAATGGGGTTGTAGTAGAAGTCGCTTCCACAATTTGTTTCTCGTTTGCTAACAAAGGATACTGGCTGATTTTGACCCTATTTAGTTCCTTCAAAAAATTAAAAAAAACGAATGCAATTCAATAAAATGAATGAGTTCTCTCTTTCGAACGATTGTTGAAAGTGACAATTCATCGTGTATATAGCAAATAAAGCGTGAACTGAAAAGCTCGGAAGCACTGGACAGCTGTTTCGACCTGGTTGGGTCTCATCAGCAGTGCGAATCCATCGACCCGACTGGGGATCGAACCCGGGACTTCGTGGGCAGAACGCAAGTGTGCTACCCACTACGCCACCGGGCAGCTGATCAGACCGTTTTTCATTTTCGCACTGCTGATGAGACCCAACCAGGTCGAAACAGCTGCCCAGTGCTTCCGAGCTTTTCAGTTCACGCTTCATTTGCTATATACACGACGAATGGTCATTTGAAATTTAACCAAACCCTCCATTACCCACATGAGATTGTTGAAAGGTCATTGATTGAGCCATATTTGGGTAATTGCTGACATGAAATTTGATTCCATAATGTGGTGTATGGTTTGCAGCAGCGTCTCATGGAATCAAGACGGTATTTTGTGGTGACCCGGCTAATAAACGCTCCATCACTCTCTCCCCGTACTATCAAAAATCATGGAATCCATCGTTGCAAACAATGTGACGAGTCACTAAAAAAAACGTATTCTTTTATTAAACACAGGGAAGGTGAAGAACAGCAGATCGGGTAGACCCCATAGTCACGAGGACCTACCGTTCAGAAGTGGAAACCAGCAGCTTAAACCCCGGGGCTTGGTGTGGTGAACCACATCGCAGGCAATCGTGTACCACTAACCTGTGTTCCAACCCGAGAACAGTGTACAAATGCAGCCAATCATAGTGGTACAACGGATGTAGTGTGCCTTAGGTTTTCCAAGGCATTGGACCCCGCGAAACACGAAATACTGCCGAAGAAAATGCATAATGAAGGACTTGTACTGGCTTGTTTAGAGGAATTTCTTCGACAACGCACCATGGCATTTTAGGTTTCTAGGTCATTATCTGGCTTTATCAAAGCAACTTGAGAGGTTCTACAGGGATCCGTGGTTAGCCCTCAACTTTTTCTAGTTTTCATAAACGATCCAATAGACGTTCCGCTGCCACAGACATTAACGGTTGCAGACGATGTAAAAATATGGATAACAGTGACAAAACCTGAGAAACAACTGGCAGATCAGAGCACATCAAGTGCTGCTTAACAATGGTCGATTGAAAATGACATCCAAATTCACGATCGTATCCCTTTACCACAAAACTCGTTTCCCATACTGCCTGGGACGTCAACACCTTCGATATACCTTGAATGAGAAGGATCTCGGTTTGATCGTTCAAGACGACCTAAACAGTTCAATAAACTACACCAGAACGTCTTCCGCAGTTGAAAGATATGTTGGTTTGATAACTTGAGTCTCTTGCAATTTCAACCTATGCGGCTCCTATGTCTGTAATCCGCCTATATTCGACCTCACAGCAAAGAATCCACGATTGCAACGCGAACGTCCACAAATAATAGCCACCAAGATGATACGTGGACTGTATTCCCAGAACTATGTGGAAAAGCTCAAATCAATAAAGGTGATTTTATAAATCGAATAATACAGAACCCTGACTATCCATATCGTTCACTGATCACCTTGTCGCCCAACATTCACCTTAGAGGGCACTCATTCAAATTATTGTTACGAAATTGTCAGCTAAAATGCTGGCCTCACTCCTTTGCTTTCATTTTGTATTGATTTTTGTACAACTTATGTAATCATACATGCTTATATTTCAGTTGAAAATGTACACTGTTCGTCACGCAGAATGAAACAATAATAATAATAATAATAATAATAGCGAAAGGTAAAGAATGTCAGAGATATTTGTTTCATGTACAAAACTTTGACGTAGTTCATTTGAGACCTGTTCCTTTTTAGTAAGTAGTCGGGCCAGGTAGGATACAGGGGAATTTTCATAAATGTTAATGCGAGAGGGTAGAGGTCGAAATGAGGAGCGTGTGGACGGATGGGAACGACAAGACGACAGATCAGGGTATCGTGGATGAAGGGGATCATCTAGAATCTTATGAGCAAATTTAAAACAAGAGTTGATATGACCATCAATGAGATCTGTGATTACTGAGTCGATCGGAATTAATGATGCACGACTGATGATCATCAAACCACGACGAATTGTTTTGAAGTCTTGTTTTAAAAGACCGAGAAACACTACAGAGAAACAACAGAGTAGAATGGGTAAAACGTATTGATGAACGAAGGATGACAGGACTGACTGTGGGGTTCGGAATTGCCTGAGTTTGCGTAACTGAAAAGACAGACGCCTCAGTTTTCCTATACAGTTGTAAATATGTGTAGACCAATGAAGAATGCTGTGGATACGTGATTGAGGTCATTCTGGATACAGGTTTACCGTTAGGGGTAGCAGAGTTCGTTGGAAATGAGGAGCGGAAAAGAATGAAAATAAAGAATGAAAAAATACACACTTAGTTATTCGGAATTCCCTATCACTTCACATTGTTTTCGCACCCACCATTGCCTCTTTCAAGCACAGACATGATGCATCATCGCCATATGTGAAATTTCGACACCTGTTGCAATCAGTACAGGAAACAATGACAATTTGAGACATTCAGCATCTCTCTTTGATCGCTCGATTGATCCCACTATGCGGGAAAACCCTATGGGACAAGAAAAACAAACACGCGTAAGTATTTCCCATAATAAAACACTGACTTTGAGATGTGAGAGTCGGGAAGAAGTTATCGGTGCAGACACCAACTTTCGGGCAAAAGAATAGAAAAAGGAAACTGGGGTACAGTCTGATGAAAAAGACCTTTGTGTTTCGGTCAAAGACAAAGTCATACGGGAGAAGGTGGTTGGAGAAAGTGGTATATAGAATCAACATTCCGATTCAAACCACAAATGCTAGTGACGGTAGTGAGAAAGCTGCCTGATTTCTGCGTGTGCATATGATCATTCACTTGAATTGTATTGTATATACATAATGTGAGAGATTGCCGACAACCCAACCCTGAGACTCAGAATGGTAAACCACATAGAGCCTCAGTGAGTTGGGAATGGTGAGCTGGGCTGTCTACCCACAATAGCATGTTATTCTACTAGCAGAGTGAGCAGATCGCTTGGTATGAGCATTACACGTTTAAAATTTGGTTTCCTCATTCGAAACTAAAGGATCAGGGGTTACCTGTTGCTGATTGTGTTCCTCACCCAAATACTTGCGTCATTATTGATGGTAGCCAAGGTAAAAAGGTATTCGCGCGCAAATCGATGGCCTAAGCTGCGTACGCAGAATCGAAACACCTGCGGCATCGACGTGAAGCTTTCTAACAGTTGCCACGTTGCACATACTGCGGGATCAGTTCTGCTTTGTAGTTTTGAGAACCTTAGTTTAATTATAGAAATCATTTAGGAACTGCGCGAGGACGTGTTCCTAACTGTTATAATGGGCCCGGGAGCTGTGTTTCCAATCCGATTTGAGAACAAAATCGCACCTACTGATCCATGAGCAGGCAATTTACGAACTACTAACTTCAGTTGTCATGTTGATATGAATCTACTGCGAAAAATTGTTGGAAGACTTGGGCGAATGATGCCCAGGCTGTGTGGTTATTGGTCATATAACTAGGAAATGGGGGCTACAACGGTTCGAGGCTTGCTGGGGATGCACACACGGAGAACGCATTGAGGACCAAACGCAGAAGAAACAAACGAAACAACTCTGGAATAGTGACCAAAGCATGGTGGTGTCTCGACTTCACATTATTCACGAATATGAAAAACAAATTGAAGAAGAAATAGTGAATGGAATAATTGTGTGCGTAATGCACTTTGAACATACCCAGTATGTGGGGGAGCGTCTCGTCATTCACACTGTGTAAACCGCAAACACTGAGGGATTTCAGATTTTGCAAACCTGTCGGAAGAACAAACAAACAAAGAAAAATCAGAATGAACTAATCAAACAGCACCCAAACACAGAACCTAACATTTATTCACGAAAAGTTCAAAAGTTCTGTTAACAAGCCCGAGTAACAGGGTATCAAAAGCAAGTACTCGCTTATGCTGTACAATGCGGCTGGTAGAATCCTCGTCGTATACACTGATGTCCTTGATAGACAAAAGGGTATCATTTCAACAATCAAAGTTAAATCTGATTGGAAAACATCCAATAAATTCGATAAACCATGTTTGTAGCCAAATTGTGGAACAAAATTATTTTCACAAACTACTCACGACTTAGATCACAGATTCCTTCCGTGGCAATTTGATACGGATGATCACTGTCCAGGCGTAGATCCACCAGTCCAGTCCAGCGGTCCGCGAGACACTGAATCAATTCCGTGCTGGTCAGAATGTAGTGACCTAAGTCGAGGACGGACACACAACTAAGTGTGTGTGTGTGTGTGTGTGAGGCGGAGGGAAAGTAAAACCGAAGAGGAGAAAAGTCAATTAAAGAACACCATGCGATGGTCTGACTTGCGCCAGTGTTTGTGAAAAAGATCGTAGTGGCCGTAAAAAGGTTTGGCTCGCGCCGCACAAAGAATGCTACGCGGCTCACGGCGACCAGTTTGAAGACCAATTGTATAAATAGCAAACAGACTCACTTGATGCAATCATACAGGGATTAATTTTCTTTTGTATTCACTGGCCAGGAACACACGCTACCTTGCACTAATGATGAGATCAGATTTAGTGCACCGCTAAGCTCAGTTCAGATTGCATATATCGAACAAAACGAGGAAGTTATAGATCAGAACAGATTTCAACATATGCACACACATACACATACTCAAGTCATCTTTGAAATCCGCTGAGTATCCGAACCAACACAGAATGATGTCTCGAAAGTCGTTCGGGCAAAACAGTGAAGAAAATGCCCGGGATACCATTAAGTGTATAGACTTCAAATTGTGACAGTAGTTACGTTCTCGATGCCATTTTTATTGGGTCCAAATGGTCCAACAGATATGTATGCACCGTAAGACTGTGTATTCAGCGTGTGTGTGCGCGCGCGCGCGCGTTCAACCACAAAAGATCATTTTCGTTTCCGTTTTCGAAAAGAAACCAGGTCCAGTCCACAACGCATCCGAATATTGTAAGTTTGATAGTGATCAGTCAAGTTCGCTTTACAGCGAACGGGCTGTGTTTTCAGGGCGAGCTGATAAGTCTGTCCCCTAAAGCGGAACGAAGGTTGGCAAGCAAGCTCGTGATGATTCACAAAATAAGCATCATCGATCGATGGAAGATTAACGGGACTGTTTGGGTTTCCGATTACAAGATCATGCACTCCGTCTGGGGCGTTTCAGAAGTTTATGCAAACGGTGCAAGGCGCTGTTTCTGACTGTATCCGGAGTGCACTCCATCGGGGGAAAATACGAAAATGCATCGTTCGATTGATCTCTCGTCGCTGACTTTACATGAGAACCTGAGAGTCTCATTGGACCGAGTTAAATGTCTACAGGGATCGAATCCAACGGATTGGCCTCGATCGTGGTGCTCATTTGTTGTTGTATCGGAACCCTTAGTCATACGCGAATGAAGCCATTCTTTGGGCTTTGAGGAAGACGTTAATCGAAATATTGAGTTCAGAACTTGAATACATGTTTCCGAGAGGCGACATACTTTTTTATTACACATGTGTGTGATGAACAGCAGACGGGGCGGACCCTATAGTCACGAAGACCTGCTGTTCAGTGATGGTAACCGGCAACCTAAACCCCGGGATCTGGAGTGGCGGACCAAATTGGCCCCACTAGGTCAGGGGTGGTATAGAACCGGGCGACAGCAAAGATGTCGCTGTACGCAGTTGTGCTCGCACGTTGCAAGAAGACCGTTTAAAAGAGATATACGGTTCGAGGAATGGACGACAGACTCCGTATGATAAAGCAATCTCGAAACAACTGTCGAAGCGAAAAACAGCGGGCTAAAATTGAACCCTCATTAATGGAACAACTTACACTAGAGGGAACAGTACGAAGAGAGTGATTTATAGGGAGGAGAGATGACAATACTACGCACAATGTTAAGGAACAGCGTGTAGAATAATTTTGAACAGGAAACGAAAGCTTGAGTGAATGAGTGAGTCGACGATCATTTACAACTAACCAGATGCCAATAAAGTATTACTGGGGGGAGGGATCTTTTAATTAAAGAAACTACGCTACAAGTCAGCGTGTTGGAGTAGGGAGTCCGCGATTCTCTGGAAGCGAGCGATTGATAGACCAGTGCATGCACTTTTTGGACGTTATCGACGATTCAGGGTTACCAGTTTGGCCTACGTCCGAACGTTTCTGAATGAGTGTTGTGGTGATATAAAGGTGAACCTCGGTGCTGAGTCCGCGATCGGGTCGACGACTGGAACCGATAAGAGCTTTATAAACCATACTGCTAGGTTGTAATAGCGAATTTTCGCAAACTTTCCTAGACTGACGAACAATGAATGGTCAAGTCACCCGGTTGAAATAGCTGGGCATTCACCTTTACCATCTCTTTTTAGTGGAACTTCCTCGGTCACATGAATGTAGGAATTGGTCAGCAGAAGCTATCTGAGATGCCTGGTCATCTGAAAGCATGTCGAGCTTCTTAAGAATACCAACTGAACTGTGGGGCTGCGTAGCACACAAGCGATTGTTGATGGGAATGCAATCGATACGTGAAGCTCTAGTTACGCTGCTTAGTACGACACTGAATCCACCGACCTAAATTACAAGCCACGTCGTCTGT